TTTGTTTTTTTTTTTTTGTTTACACTTAATCACTATACAGCTCCATAGCATACAAAGTTAATCTTCCCAGCATGAATATACTGCATCTCAGTCCAGTCAAAGGCATTTCCATACATGTTATCATCAACAGATAATTTCCCACTTTTGTGTCCATTAAAAAAATTGTTTTTTAATGTATCAGCTCTGGGTTGAATCCTTCAAATATGTGGTTCTGTTTCATCCTCATAGCCACACTGTGAGGTGAGAATTATCAGTCCCCATTTTATAGCTGAGGAAACTGAGGCTCAGAGAAACCCTCAAGTCACGCTGCTGGGACATGTGTGGTCGAGGAATTTGAATGTCTGTTCTAACTCCCACACATGTTCTAGAGTGTAAATTAGTTAAGACTCTTAGATGCCAGATACAGAAAATCAGACGCAAGCTGACCTAAGCGCTAGTTCCCACAGATTGCCAAGTGCTGGGGCAGTGGTTTCAGGCATGAATGGATCCAGGGACTTGAATAATGGGGACCTGAACTCTTTCCAGCCCTTGGCTCTGCTTTCCTGTCTGTTGACTCAATTCCAGGCAGGCTTTCCCTGGTCCCAGTAAGCCATGGTCTCTCGCTACTCCAGCTTCTATTCTCACCATCGTCCTCCAGGCAGAAAGGAGTAGCTCTTTCCCAGTCATTCTAACATAAATCCAATACTCGAGTCTCATTGGTTCTGCTTGGGTCAGAAGGCCATGCCTGCACCAATCACTGTGACCGGAACAGTGGGACGTGCTGATTGGCCAGGCTGGGGTCAGATTTCCTTGGAGTCCTAGATGGAAAGTTGGTGGGGTTGGCCTCAGCTCTGTTATATGGATTGAGGGTGTGGAGGAGGATGGTTCTCTCTGAAAATGGGGGTGCTAGGACCAGAAGAAGGGGAGCTAGCGTCTGGGCAGGCTGGGACATGAATGCTGGAGCAGATGGGTCCTGGTGAGAAGGGTGGAGGAGCCAAGGGGCATGATCTTCTGGCCTCTGAGCTCCTACTACAGTGAGCGCTGAGAACTAACCCTCCCTCCCGCCCCTTCTAGCGTCTACTGGGACTATGCCATGACCATCCGCCTGGAGGAGATTGTCTACCTGCACTGCCACCAACAAGGTAGGGGACAGCCTCTTGGGCCCCCTCCACCCCTGCTCCCTCCACTCCTACCCCTCTGCCCTTGCCCCCCACCATCCCTGCCCATTCATTACCATCATGAGACAGTATGGGCATCCCACATCACCTGTGCACCTCGAGCAAGTGTCTTCACCTCCCCAACCTCAGTTTCCCCCTCTGTATAATGGGGATCCTAGCACCTTCTCGTGGTGTTACCCTGAGGATCAAATGATGTATGCTAAGGGCTCAGTGCCTCCCTCAGGACATTCACTGCAGACGTTTGCTGAGCACTCATAATCTGCCAAGCACAGCTCTAAGTCTCCACGGCTCGTTAGTCATCACCACAAGCCAGTAACAGGGACGACACCGTTCCCCTGTCAGAGGTGAGGAAGCAGCCTGGTACAAAGTCACACAGCCTGTAAGCTCCAGAGCCTGGACTCCAACCCAGGTCTTTATTCTTCCAATCCATGCTCTGAAGATTCGGGGTTAATAACTACAGTACTTACTTATTTATTTCTATTAGAGAGATTTTTGCTATAGGGCATGTGTGCTTGCCAGAGACAGAGAGGCAGAAAGTGAGAAATCACTCCCTGCAGGGGAATGGTTGCCCCAGTCCCTTCTCCTCCATTCTCTTCTTGGGATCTTGGGCACGCATGCATAATGTGCCCAGCATGAGTTCAAGCCCCCAATCCTGGACTCGAACTGTGATTGGCCATGTGGGAGTCCAGCTATGTAACCATTATGCCATCTGCTGGTCCCATTAACTATAGTACTTCTTTACAACCAGAAGAAGGGACAGTCAGAACAAGCGGAGGGCCATTGTGCTTTAGAATGTAAGTGGTCTGTGCCTCACCAAGGCACGAAACATGGTGGCTTAAGCCTTTTCAATGAGACAGACCTGGGTTCAGATCCAGACACTGCCACTAAGAGCTGTGCAACCTTCGGGAGGTTACTTAACCTCTCTGAGTCTAGGTTTCACATTTGTCAAATAGGCAATTACATTGTGTTGTTGGAAAAGTCATGATGCATGTTTGCATAGAAAAACAGAAAACTATGCATGACTTTTCCGATGACCCAGTAGATATGCCTCGCGTGGATAGTGTGAGTATTAAAATAAGAAAGTGCCTTTAAAATGCTGTACTTGTATATAGTAAGCGCTCAATTAATGCTGGCTAGAGTCAGCAACTCCCTGAGAATGGGGTAAGTCTGGAAACCTCTGTGAAAGCAGAGGCCGGCTAGAGTTGTAGAGGGTTCTCGAGGAGTGCAGTGTGTTCGGGGCCTCTTTTTCCGTTGGTGGGTAAGTTCAGGGAGGCCAGACACATTCCCCAGGACCTTGTCCTACAGTTCCCGGTCAGAGATGGCAGGAGGATGGGACGACAGGGACTCAGAAGGTAGACACAGCCCCTAGCCTTTTGCCCAGGCCTTTCCTAGAGCCTTGATGCAGACCCGGGGGCCTGGCACAGTGCCTGGGGGGCTGTGCTTGCACCGTGCCTCCTAGTGACTCCCGCTGGGTCTTCTCTGCTGGTTGTGGTGGCAGTGGACAGCGGTGGGACAGTGGTGCTGGTCAGCCAGGATGGGATCCAGAGGCCGCCCTTCCGCTTCCCCAAGGGAGGGCACCTGCTGCAGTTCCTCTCGTGCCTGGAGAACGGGCTCCTTCCTCACGGGCAGCTGGACCCACCGCTCTGGTCCCAGCGGGGGAAGGTGAGCGCTGGTGGGGACCTGGGAAGGCTGGGCTGTGGTCAGTCATGGAGAGCAGCCATCTTACCCAGGGGCCCTTATGTCGCCTGGTGGGCTAAGGCACCCCCGCCGAGCCCCTCGGGCTTTGCAGCTTGTGAGGACAGACATCCCAGTGACTTGGACTGGGACATGCTCTTTCAGGGCAAAGTGTTTCCCAAACTGCGCAAGCGAAGCCCTCAGGGTTCTGCCGAGTCCACGTCTTCAGACAAGGAAGATGACGAGGCCACAGACTACGTGTTCCGGATCATCTACCCTGGCATGCAGTCTGAGTTCGGTAAGTGGCCCCGTCCCTGGGCTCTGGAAGTCTCCTGCTAACTGCTCCCGAAAGTGACTCCAGGTGTTTGGAACTGAAGGCATGAGGTCTGGATTCCGGGGCCAGGGAGGGACGCGGAATCAGGAAGGCAGTGCCATAGGGCCTCAGTTTTCCCCCTGATGAGAACAAATAGCATCTCTCTCTCTTTTTTCTTTTTAAAGAATTATTTTATTTTTACTTTCTATTTATATTTAATTTGGCTAGAGGAGAGAGAGTGAGAGAAAGCTAGAGAGAGAGAGAGAGACAGAGACAGAGAGAGAGACAGAGAGAGCAAGCAAGCCACCGTCCGGACCCGGTGGCTTAAAACTCATGCCAGGTGCATGTGCATGTGTGCCCAAGATCCTGAGAAGAGAATGGAGGAGAAAGGATTGCGGCGTGACCATCCCCCCTGGGGGGTGATTTCTCGCTTTCTGTCTCTATGTCTCTGTCTGTCTGGCGAGCACACGCGCCCTATAGCGAAAAAACCTCTCAAAAAAAAGAAAAAAAAAAAGACTGATGTTAGTTAAGATGCCCCACCAGGGAGCTGGTTCATCAGAGAGGGCCCGATTCCCTAAGGGTGCTTCCAGGAAGTTCTCTCCAAGGGCTCTCAGCCAGCAGGTCGTGGGTACACCCTTGCCGGGGCCTAGCGGGATGCAGGGAATGTGACGTGTGTGCTGTCCTATGGCCTGACGTGGGCCAGTGGCTCTGACACTGGCTGTGCCACCCACACGCTTCAGCTGTGTCTCCAGGTCTTAATTTAGTAGCTCAGTCTGCAGAATGAACAGAAACGCACCCTTTACAGGGGCACTAAGGACAAGAAGGCAAACCCCCGTCTAGCCAGGCACCTGGTACCTAGCAGGCACTTTATACCTGAAACCCACATGCCTGTGTGGTTTGAGTTCCAGACCCAGTGGCTTGAAAAACTTACCAGGCACATGTGCATGCATGCCAGGAGTTCTGAAAAGAGGAGAGAGGATTGCGTGTGACCGTCTCCCATAGGGGTGCTGCCTCACTTTCCCTCCCTCCCTCTCTCCCTCTCCCCCCGAGAAGTGTATGTATTCTCTGGTGAACTTTTAAAAAAATTAATAAAAAATATGGGACCAGCAGTTAGTGTAATGGCCATGTCGCTAGACTCCCACGTAGTCGACCGTGGTTTGAGTCCCAGATCCGGTGGCTTAAACTCACGCCGGGTGCATGTGCGTTCGTGCCCAAGATCCCGAGAGGAGACTGGAGGAGAAGGGATTGCAGCGTGACCATCCCCCCTGGGGGGTGATTTCTCGTTTTCTGTCTCTCTGTCTCTCTCTGTCTTTCTGGCGAGCGCACATGCCCTATAGCAAAAACCTCTCAAAAAAAATTAATAAAAAATAAATAAATGCCAGCATTCTTTATTTTTTTAAAAGAATTATTTATTTATTTAATTTTCTTTATCATCATTATTGTTATTCTTAATATGCTATAGGGCATATGTGCTCATGCGAGAAAGTGAGAGAGAGAGAGACAGAGAGACAGAGAGAAAGCAAGCCGCCGGATCCAGTACTCAAATCACGGTCGGCCATGTGGGAGTCCAGCACCCTTAACTACCATGCCACCTACCAGCCCTTAATGTGAGCATTCTTTCTTCCTCTAATCAAACACAGTATATGTAGGAGCCATGTGGAGCCGGGCAGGGGCAGGGTTTTAAGGCCAGAGGAATTGGCTCCTCTGTCTCAGTGTCCTGCCCACCTCAGACCTCTCACTTCACCAGTTCTTTTTATTTTTATCTCAAGTGGCCCCTGACCTCTTGGGCAGCACTGCAGGCCCAGCCTGGATGATGATTCCTGTAGGTCGATCCATGCTGGTGGTGGCCAGGGGAAGTCGGTGGGCACGAAACAGATGGGACGCCACCCTCTTCACACCGGGCCTGAAGGAGCAGCCCCCCCGTAATGTCTGGGATCCCCTCTTCCCTGGGGGCTGGTGTCAGCCACCTCTGCCATGTTGTCATTTGAGTTTTGGCCCCAAGGGAGATGGAGGCAGGAGACAAACTGACACGCTGACTCTGTCCAGCCTCCACTCTGCAGAGAGCAGGTTGCAGTGTCATGGGTTCGGTAGCAGCGGGTTCCATTGGTGATGTCTGCATGGATGTGAGAGGTAGGATGGAGGCATTGTTAACATGCCTGGGCTAAATTAATCAGTGCCTCCTTGAGATTGGCTAAGAACTGGAGATGTTTTTTGCAGAATATTTTACAAGGGCTTACTGGACCAGCTCCTATGTCTTCATAAGGAAGAGCAGTATAGCAAACCATGTGGCCCAAATACCCTACTCTGTAAGCAGCTCTCTACTCTATCAGTGAGAGGGGTTGAGTCCAGATGACAAGAGGGGCTGGAACCACAAAATCCTCTCCCCTCGGAGCTCAAGGGAAGAGGCAGAGTATCACCAGCTGTCTTAGGGACCATCACATCTGATAGAAAAAAATCTGTACTTGTCTTCATTCCCTAGAGCAGGAATTAGAAAGCTATGGCCTGTGGGCCCAAATCCCACCTCATTCTCTACAGCCTGTGAGTCAAGAATGTTTTTTGTATATTCCTAAATGACTGAGAAAAATCAAATGCTTTCATGTCACGTGAAACTGACAGAAGTTCACATTTTAGGGTCTGTATAAATAAAGTGTCCTTAGTACATAATCAAGCTCCTGCATTTACGTTTTGTTCACGGCTACTTTTGTACCACTGAGTTGGGTGGTTATAATAAAGTCCAAATGACTCCCAAAGCCTAAAATATTTACTATTTGGCCCTTTATGGAAAAAGCTTCCTGAGCCCTGTTGTAGAGAAAACATCGGGTCTTTGGAAAAGTCATGAAACATTTTTTGCATAGAAAACATTTTTTAAAAATGCACCGTGACTTTTCCGACAACCCAATAGAACTTTTGCTCCAAGAAACCAGGAAATTGACTGCAGAGGTTGTCACATACCTATTACCAGTGTGGTCTGCAGTTTTTGTAAATACTGCAATTCTCATGAAGCTGGGAAAGAAGGAAATAAGGGGACCCTTGAATACTGTGTCCTGGATGCAGCTGATCAGGAATCTCCAGTGCCCACGAGTTAAGGAATGTCTTTCAAACATGGCTGCTGTATCAAAATTGTGAGGACTTTATCTCCAGGGGGTCTTAATTCAGTAGTATAGGAGTACAGGGTAGGCATGCAGCCTTTTAACAGGTCACCCACATGATGCTGGGGGGTCACTAGTCTGTTGGAGACCCTAAGTCCAGGACCATGGACAGCGCCCCCCTCCTCATCAGACTCCACCGGCCTCTTACCCTTGAGTTCCCAATCTTGCCTGTTGAGTCAGGCTTCCTTCTATCTGAAACCCTGGAGTTGCCCATGAGAGCTCTCTCTCAGGGATGAAGACACCACCCTTCCCCAGAAGCACCCCACAGACTCCCCTTCCTTCCCACAGCATCCTGTGCACAGCTAGATGACAACATGGCGAGGATTGGCCTCCTGCTCTGGAATTGGGCCTGTCTTCTTGGTCTGGTCTCTCTGTTCTCTTCTTCTCTCTATCATCAGCTCTCTCCATCTGGGGTCCTCAAAGCTTGGTGGTGGCTTTCCCTGGATCAGGTGGACTCACAGCCCAGGTTCAGAATGTGATTGGGGTGGCTGTTTCCTACTGTGACTTCTGGGTCTTTCCCTGTCCCTATGCTGGCCTGGGGCTGAGCTGGGGGTGAGGTTTCTGTGACCTGCATAGGCTTAACCAGGGATCCGCCTCTGCCCCTAGTCCCCCAGGATCTGATGGATGTCTCGGTGAGCAACCTCCCGTCCCTGTGGCAACCCAGCCCCCGGAAATCTTCCTGCTCTTCCTGTTTGCAGAGCGGATCAGCTGATGGTAGCTCAGCCAATGGCTGCAACCATGAGAGGTATGAGGGGGCTAAGGTGGAGTCAGAGGGAAGTGATGGATTTATTACCAAAGTTTTATGGGTGCCCATTTCTGGCCCTGCACTGAATTCAGTGGAGTGAACATAAATTACAGAATCAACCAGATGTAGGCTAAATCCTGGCCTTGAGAAGTCCTTGCTCTTTGAGCTTTTGCACATGGATTAGTCAGTATCAATTAGGTCATGCCACAGTAACAAACAGCCCTAAAAATCACAGTGACTTTTTATGGCAAAGGGTTATTTGTCATGCATGCTGTGTGTCTGTTGTGGCTCAGCTGGGGGCTCCACCTTCTCTTCATTAAAGTTCCTGACTGGTGGAGTAACCACCATCCTGAATGTTGCTAATTACAGTGACAAAGGGAATGGCAGCTCTAGAGGGTGTTGAATCGACAGTAATGATCCACTCAGAAGCAGCACATGTCATTTCCACTCATGACCCATTGGGCCCACCCACAAGGGGCCAGAAAATGCAGCCCTATCATGTGACTAGCAATCAGACACCAGAAAGAGTATTTAGTGACTGTCACATATACCTTGGTTTGTTCCTCCATAACATGGAGATGCTAGTGCTTACCTTCTGTAGCTATTATAAGGAAAAAATCAAATAACTGCTCTTTTAATTACCAGAGGGCATGTGCATTTGCCAGAGAGAGACAGAGAGGGGAAAAAGCAACCCCCAATAAATGTGGCCATGCCACCATTCCTTCTCCATTTTTTCACCATGTTGGGATTTTGAGGGGCACACATATATACCCACTTGGCCTCTTGCCAAGCTACCAGGGCCAGGATTCAAACCATGGTTGGCCATGTGGGATCTGACTCCTTTTTTTTTTTTTAAGAACTGCGTAATTTAATTTATTTATTTACTTTGACCAGAGAGAGACACAGAAAGAGAGAGAGAAAGTGAGAAAGCAAGTCACCAAGTCCAGGACTTGAATCATGGTCGGCCATGCAGGAGTGTCCAGTATCCCAACCACCAGGCCACCTGCTGGTCTTCAGGGATCTGACTCCTTTAACCACTAGGCTGTGGGGTTGGTCCTCAAATAATGGCTTAACATGGTCAGTGTGTGGTATCTAGCACACGGTACTGTTCAGCAAATGACTCTGTTTTATTGTAGAAAGTCAACTATCAAGCTCACCTCTCCTCACCCATAGAGCTTTTGCTTCTTTGGAACTCCTTGACCAGTTCATGAGATGGGTCTTCTTTTCCACTGACCCAACGGGAGAGAGAATGGAATCCTCTGTCCTTGCTAGGCTTCTGTCCCCAGGGGGTGGGGGTGGGGATCCAGCTGTCGGCCATCAGAGTGTAGGAGGTGGGGGCCGGTATCCTGTTTTTGAAGTACTGCCCTGCCCTGGCCCCTCGGCGTGGTCTGAGACCCAGCAGCAGCCATCACCTGGTCAGCTCCTCGGTCTCATCTCAGACCCCGAAGCAGAATCTGTGTTTAACATGCTCCTGAGATCATGTGTGTACTTTCAGGTTTGAGACTGACACCCTGATGTAACCAGAGAGTCTCAAAGCTGAATGCATCCGAATCACCTGGGAGAGATACCAAAACGTACCGATTTCTGACAATGGTCTGTGCAGGCCCAAGAATCCTCATCTTGGAGAATCCTCAAGTGACTTGGGCTGGTGGTCTGTGGACCATTGACAGACAAATGCCACTCTATCCAAAGACATGACTGTACACATTGACAGCAGCAAATAGTTTTTCATTTTTTTGGTCAATGAAGCATATTTTTTTTTCCCTTTTTCTTCCCCTCCCTTCCTCCATTACCCACCCCTGTATTACTCCTATCCTTACTATCTCTAGTCTCTACCATTGCCCTCCATGCTACTCTACCTTCCACGCTTTCAGTTTCTGCCACAGGGCTCAGTTTGTTTTAGCTAGGTCACTTTAGGAGTCAGAACTTTTTGGGACCAGCAGATGGTGCAATGGTTATGTCGCTGGACTCCCACACAATCGACTGTGGTTTGAGTCCTAGACCTGGTGGCTTAAAACTCATGGGGACCAGCAGGTGGTGTGGTAGTTAAGGGAGCTGGATTCCTACATGGCTGATTGTGGTTCAAGTCCTGGACCTGGTGGCTTGCTGTCTCACTTTCTCTCTTTCCCACTCTCCCTCTCTGGTCAAATTTAAATAAATAAGTAAATAAATGGGATAAAGGTAAATAAAATAATTTTAAAAACAAACAAACAAACAAACTCATGCTGGGCTTATGTGTGTACGTGTCTAAAATCTTGAAAGGAGAATGGGAGAGAAGGGATTGCTGTGTGGCCATCCTCCCTGGGGTTTCTCTCTGTCTCTCCAGTGAGAGCATATGCCCTATAGCAAAAATCTCTCTTAACAAACAAAAAAAAGAGAGAGAGAGAGAAGTCAAAACTTTTTCTGCAAGTGGCAGAAACCCACTTCAAACTGGGTTAAGTGAAAAAGAAAATGTGTTGACAGAGCCGAAAAGCTCAGAGGACAGTGGCCTCAGGCATGGCTGCATCCAGATACTCAAAACAGGAATATTTCTCTTTTCCTTCAGTTCTGCACTCTGCTTGCCCCTGTGATTTTCAGGCAGGCCCTTCCTATTCAGTGACAATTGTGGTGGCTCCCAGCAGCTGCTGTCATATAACCCACTGGCTTAGAAACTCAAGCAGGGGGACCAGCAGTTGGTATAATGGCTGTGTTGCTGGACTCCCATGTAGTTGACTGCGGTTTGAGTCCCAGACCTGGTGGCTTAAACTCATGCCAGGCATGTGTGTGTGTGTGTGTGTGTGCCCAAGATCCCAAGAGAATGGAGGAAAAGGGATTGTGGTGTGGCCATCCCCCCAGGGGATGATTTCTCTCTTTCTGTGTCTCTGTCTCTCTCTCTGTCTTTCTGACGAGTGCACACACCCTATAGCAAAGACCTCTCAAACAAAACAAAACAAGAAACTCAAGCAGGAAAAAAGAGTGACTGATTGGTAGTATTTCCAACAAAAGTCTCAGGGCTGATTCTCATTGGCCCAGGTTAGGTCACATGACCATCTCTGACCCAATCACTGTGACTCCAACCTGGGCCATGTGCTGGGTATAATGATCTCCACTCAAACTGCAGGGACAGAGGAGATGATTCCTCAAAGGAAAATTGAAGTGCTAATAGAAAGAACTGTGATGTTGTGTAGATAGAAATAATAACAGCCCTCCCCACAAGCCCTCTGGCTGGCTAATTTTAATCTACCCTCTAGAGACAATGTGTGATGTTCCTATCCAGAAAACCTGGCCTGTGCATGGATCTCTTCTGAACATCTTCCGCTTTCTCTGCCTGCAGGGCTCCCCTGAAACTTCTCTGTGACAATATGAAGTACCAGATCCTTTCCAGAGCCTTCTATGGATGTACGTACACATCTTCCTCGCCAGTGGGGTCTCTGAGGAGCATTTATTGAGTGCCAGCTGTATGCCAGAAATAGCGGGGGAAGGAGCCTGGCTGTGGAGTTTGAATCTCTCTTCCTCTAGTTCCTGAATGTCTGTTTCAATGAAGTTGCATTAGCTTCTCTGAGCCTTCATTTCCTCATCCACAGATTGGGGATAAGTTTCATTTCTGGGTCCTAAGACAGGGCAGTGAATAATGGGGTCCCTTGGGGTGGCAAGTGTTTAGTTGCCATTGCATCCTTAGGGCTCATGGTTTTCATGACTCCTGAACGAGAACATATTAAGCTTCTAGCACCTGGAAGTGCATGTCAGAGGTGTGCAATCAGTGTCAATCCTCCTCTTCTGTGCAGAAATGGAAGAGTCGGGTGGCCGCTGCCTTCCCAGAAACTGAAAAAATTAAATTTGTGGTATAGCTATTCTGGATATTCCCATTTAATTGATGAGAAAAGTAAGGTACAGAGAGGCAAAGTGACTTGCCCAAGATCACACAACTAACAAGCTGAAGAGCTGAGACTCCAACCCTAGCCTGCCTGATTCCAAAGACTTTGGTTTTTTCACCCCCCTCCACTACATTGATTCTAATTTTTTGAGGTTTTTGCTGTAGGGTGCATGTGCTCACCAGAAAGACAGAAAGAGAAAGTGAGAGGGAAAGTGGGAAATCAACCTCCAGGGGATTGGCCACACCACAATCCCTTCTCCTCCATTCTTCTTTTGGGATTTTGGGCACACTCCACAGATTGGGGATAAGTTTCATTTCTGGGTCCTAAGACAGGGCAGTGAATAATGGGGTCCCTTGGGGTGGCAAGTGTTTAGTTGCCATTGCATCCTTAGGGCTCATGGTTTTCATGACTCCTGAACGAGAACATATTAAGCTTCTAGCACCTGGAAGTGCATGTCAGAGGTGTGCAATCAGTGTCAATCCTCCTCTTCTGTGCAGAAATGGAAGAGTCGGGTGGCCGCTGCCTTCCCAGAAACTGAAAAAATTAAATTTGTGGTATAGCTATTCTGGATATTCCCATTTAATTGATGAGAAAAGTAAGGTACAGAGAGGCAAAGTGACTTGCCCAAGATCACACAACTAACAAGCTGAAGAGCTGAGACTCCAACCCTAGCCTGCCTGATTCCAAAGACTTTGGTTTTTTCACCCCCCTCCACTACATTGATTCTAATTTTTTGAGGTTTTTGCTGTAGGGTGCATGTGCTCACCAGAAAGACAGAAAGAGAAAGTGAGAGGGAAAGTGGGAAATCAACCTCCAGGGGATTGGCCACACCACAATCCCTTCTCCTCCATTCTTCTTTTGGGATTTTGGGCACACACGCACACGTGCCTGGCGTGATTCTCAAGCCTGTGAGTTCCAGGACTCAAACTGGTGCCTTTCCCACCACACCACCTGTTGGCCCCACACTACGTTAATTCTTAGCAGATTTTATTTCCCCACCTTCCCAGTGTAGGTGGTGTAGAGTGGATATGTGTTTATTTTCAGGGATTCTAGAAAGGTCTTAATATAGTGTCATGGGCCTGTGAAATAGTAATTCAGGTCACATCCCCAGGAGAGGCAGGGAGAGCATGAGCCCCGCTAGGACAAGGCTTGCACCTGTTCTCTGCCACCATCACCCCCCCACCCCGGTGCCGAATGCCGGGCAGGCCCTGAGCAAGTGTTTACTGGACGCAAATGGAAGATTTTCCTGAAGGAATGATGCCATTTAAGGACATGGCTCATCCCTAACGGTGGTTGAGAGTCCAGATTCAGGGACCAGTTATCCTGGGCCTCAATGCCAATTCCATACCTCCTACTGATGTGACTTGGCAAGTGAGGCGACCCGTCTGTGTCTCCGTGTCCCCATCTATAAGGTGGAGATAATAACAGTACCTGCTTTGCAGGTCTGTAGTGGGGATTGAATGAGGTGAGCTACGCGCTCTGGGAAGAGCTCATAGGCACGTAGCGTGTGCTGTATGAACGCTAGCCATTCTCCTCCATGGCATTTTGGTGATTGTTGTCAGTGGTGGGCTGAGTTTCTCAGGCTGTGTGAGGTCCAGGGTTCTCTCTGGGAAGGGGGGATGGAATGGATGACAGAGACAGGCAGGAGGAAGAGGCATGGTCAGAGCAAACAGCACAGGCCAGCGCACATGGGGTCCTAGTGTCCAGGTGGAGCAGGTGAGGGGGAGCACATTGACAGGGCTGTGAGGGGACAGGGCCACCTTTGAACGTGAACTGGATGTCCTCAGTATCTCCCTGGTTACTGACATACTTAACCTTCCTTTATTTTTTATTTAAAAAGAAATAATAATGCACTTACTGGGGAGAGAGAAAGAAAATGATAAATCAATACCCCCCCGGGGGGGATGACTATGCCACAATCCATTCTCCTCCATTTTTATCTTGGGATTTGGGGCATACATGCACACGTGCCTGGTTTGTTGTTTTCAAGTCTCAGGGTCCAGGACTTGAACTGTGCAGTCAACCATGTGGAATCCAGCTGCCTTAACCTCCATACCACCTGCTGGCTCCTGGACCCTCCTTTATCCAGCTCCTATTTGAATGGGAGCTGCCCACCTCTTGCCTTCTCTTTCTCTCTCTGCATGAATTGGAGGCACACAGGCCCAGTGAACCCATGTGGTCACCACCACCTGCCTTCTTTCCTGCTCTTTCTTTGCCTCTGCCTTTAGCCTGGAATTACATGCTTTGCTTCTAGCAGAGGAGGGTGACCTCTCCTGATGAAGGCTGAGAAAGGTAATATGCCTTTCCTAGGTCACAGAGCTATTAGGCAGTCAGGCCAGCCAGTATTACCACCCACCTCCTACTCTGAGTCTCACTTTTCTTGTCGCATAAGGGGGCTGATGGGAATTCGTGGGACAACACATTGGAGACCCTATGAGACAAAGCAAGGGGAATCAGATGATGGATGCTGACATTTCCCATCGCTCCCCACAGGGCTTGCCTACTGCAGACATCTGTCCACAGTGAGGACCCACCTGTCAGCCCTGGTCAATCATGTGATCGTGTCTCCAGACTTGCCCTGCGATGCTGCACAGGGGCTGACAGCCGGGCTCTGGGAGCGCTACCTGAACGACAGCACCGTGAGGCTTGGCTGGGCTTGGTCTGTGGTGGGGTAGAGACGGCATGGCAGGGTGTCTTATCTTCTGAGGGTTAAGCCCACAGGGCTCTCAACCTGACATGTGTAGGTGCTGCATGTGCAGATGGAAGGTTCTGTTCTGTTTTAGTTTGAGCTTCTGCTTAATAATCAAATTCCTGAAACTGGGTGATTTATATGCATAGAGGTTTATTTAGCTCACGATTTTAGAGGTTCAAGGTCATGGGGCTGTATGTAGGAGCATCTTCTTGTTGCTGGGGACTCTGCAGAGTCCCCAGGTGGCACATGACATTACACAGCAAGAGCTTACATGTGTCCATGTCTCTTTCCATGTCTCATTCTCTCTCCTTATAAACTCACAAGAATTCAATTATGGGGGTGCCACCCTGATGACCAAAATCCTAATCACCTTCCAAAGGCTCAACCTCTTTGGGTTTTCTTTTTCTTTCTTTTTTTTTTTTTTTAGTTTCACTATAGGGTGTGTACTCACCAGAGAGAGACAGAGAGACAGACAGACAGACAGAGAAGGTAAGAAGTCACACCCATAGGGGGTGATGGCCACACCACAACCCCTTCTCATCCATTCTCATCTCAGAATTTTGGACATACATGCACACATGCCTGGCATGATTTTCAAGCCACTGGGTCTGAGATTTGAACCATGGCATCATCCATGTGGAATCTAGCTGCCACTGGCTGGCCCAAAGGCTCCACCTCTTAAGCTGTAGACAGATTAAGTCTCACCTTTTTAACCCTGTTGGAATCAAATATCAATATACATGTATATAGAGAAGATGCATTTGAATCACAGCACCTCCTCTTGATACATTTCTATATCCATCTGTTGGGTCAATGGGACAGTTAGGATGCATAATAAAACATAGAAAGCTATGTCATGACTTTCATGATGACTTATTATTATACTTACATAGATTTATATCTATAATATGTATCTGTATATCTTTATTTCTATAGAGGTTTACATGTAAGTATAATATATAGATATTGAAATTCATGACACACTCTGTCCTTCAGGGAGGAGATTGAGGGGAGATGAAAAATACATGTTCATGTTTTAGAAAGGGTGGAGAATGAAGGGTTTCCCATGACATGGCCCCAGTCAGGAGTTTACAGTCTAGTTGGAACTACCTAGAATGTTGACACTAGTTAGTTTTGAGGGAAGCAGCTGGACCAAGAAAGCTTTTAAAAAACATTTTGCAATAGGGTGCATGTACTCACCAGACAGAAACAGAGGGGAAAGTGAGAACACATTCTTCAAGGGTGGGGAATGGCCCCTAATGATGAACACCTGGGCTGTCATTTTTCTTTTTTTTTAAAAAAAAATTCAAACTGTATTGAAGGCTATTCTTTGTAAGCACCTACATGTCTGGACTAATGTTTTTATTTCAGGAGTGGATTCCTAGAAGTAAAATTGATTAATGTGCAGTTAAAATTTAAGTAGATACACCAGCTGACTTTCTCAAAATGTCATAGTGTTCTTAATCTCCAGCAGTCTCTTGAGTGTGCATGTTTTTCTGAGGAATTTAAAAGATTTATAGATTTCTGGGCTCAGCTCCAGCTTTACTGATTGAACATTGCTGAGAGTGAAGCTCAAGAATCTTTCTTGAAACTTTCCCCAGTGGTCCTAGTGGTTCTCCTAATTTGGGAGGGACCAAGCTAAGGATAACTTGGTTGCAATAGTAAACTAGTCAGAAATAAATAGTCTTCATCAAACATCCTTGCACAACCTCTTCAGCCATGTTTTTCTCTTCTCAGTTGCATTATTGTATTAGAGTAGAATGAGCCCCAGTAACAAACAGTCCCCACTATTTCAGTTGCCTGACACCATAAGGGTTTATTTCTTAATCCTTTAACAGTGCTCAGAGGGTGTTCCTGGTGAGTGGGTGTCTCTCCTCCCCAGCCCTGCTCCTTCAGTATGTGATCCCAACATCTTCCAGGGCCTCATGTCAGTATGTGATCCCAACATCTTCCAGGGCCTCTGCCTGTCCCCAGCAGAAGAGGAAATAGAGAGTGTGCAGACACAACTGCTGCTTCCTGGGCCTGGCCTGCACATGGCAGCAACCCTTCCTCTCACATCTGGTTGGCTGGAGCCTGTCACATGGTCACACCTAACTACAGGGGCAGCTGGGAAATGGAGTCTAGCCATGGGCTCTGGAAGGCTGATACAGATTTTTTTTTAATTTAAATTTTGTTTTATTTCTGATTTCCAGAGGGCATGTGTGCTCACCAAAGAGAGAGGAAAAGAGAGAGAGAGGGAGGGAGAAAGCACCCCCCAATGGGTCATGTCATATCAGAGTCTATCCTCCTTTATTTCTCTATCCTGTCCGGATTTGGGGCATACATGAACACATGCCAGGCCTCTAAAGCTGGATTTGAACTGCAGTCAGCCATGTGGGGTCCAGCTTCCTTAATCACCAGGCCATGGAGCTGGATGTGATTTTTGTTTTTTCTGTAGGGCTCATGTAGTTACTGGAGGGAGACAGAGAGAGGAAAAAGGAGGAATTGCCCCCTGGGGGGAATGGCCACATGGCAATCCCTTCTCCTCCATTCTCTAGGGATTTGGGGTACATACGCTCTCGTGCCTGGTGTGAGCTTGCAGGTCCAGGACTCAAACTGTGGCCAGCTATGTGGGAGTCCAGTGTCTTAACCACCATGCCACCTGCTGGCTCCTAGAGGCTGTGATTTTTGATGAAGGTTTTGCAGCCATGACCACAAATAGTTCTCTCCTTGTTAAACAGCTCTGACAAAGATGTCCACACAGTGCAAATCTCAGTTCCCAGTGGGTACAGAAAGAATGGCTGGTTGTGCCATTGAGGTTGGGTACACTGAAGGCTGGCCTTGAAATACGAAATAGGCCTTTCATACTGGGATAGGAAATAAGGAGGCAAGAGGAAATGCGCCCCCCTCTCCCCGCCCATCGGAGAACCTTCCAGCAGCTCCTGGTACTTACCACACACATATATGGTTAGGACCTGCTGCCCCCTCGGCTTGACTGACTGAGACTGCAAAGCCTTTATCTGGAGACAAGTCTAAACAAAGCCACCAAGCCCAGTCACCTCTGCAGCACAGCAGACAGCTGTCAAGTCACTCGTATGCTCAGAAGTGTTAGCTGGGAAGTAGCGGCTGGAAATGTTCACGTGGGATTAACTTGCTTCCAGGCAGTTTTCTTCGGGCTGAGTCAAGATAAATAGTCATGGTATTTCCCAGTAACCACAATACAAGAGAGTAACTGCAAAGTCAGTAGAACGATTTAATTCATGATGTACTGGCCAGGCCTCCCTCCCTCTCTCTCCCCACCCCCTCTCTCTCCATTCCTTATCTAAACAAAAATAGGTTCTCACTAGACATGTTGTGCATCTTTTCATTTTTGCCATGTGACAACACCCATTTAATGACTTTTCACCTAGGCCCTCACAGACCCTTTTAAGCCTGTGCGCAGGCCCAGCCGTGGTGGCATACACTGGTTAGACGCTGCTGCTTCAGAGGCTGAGGCCACATGGGAGGCCTGGGTTCGAACCCAGGCCCCACCTGAAGGTACACAGGGTGGCACAAGCCTGTCAGCCAGTTACTCACGAGGCTGAGAGACACTAAAAAGCATAAACCTTGGGGCCAGCAGGTAGCATGGTGGTTAAAGTGCTGGACTTCCACATGGCTGACTGCAGTTCAAGTCCTAAACCCAGTGACTTGCTTTCTCATGTCCTCTCTCACTCTGTCTTTCTCTGGTGAGCACATATGCCCTATTGGAAATTTAAATAAATTAGTTAAATAAAATAAGTGAATAATTAAAAACAAAACTTCAACCTCTGTGTGGTTTACCCATGTGAGAATGCTTGAGAAGATACTTTATATATTTATATTTATATATATATTTTTTTTTTCAATTTTTGCCAGAGGGTGCATGTTTCTCATGTTTCACCAAGGGGAAACAGAGAGAGATACAGAAGCAAAGAAAGAAAGCACCCCCCATGGGGCATGGTCACACCACAATCCATTTTCCTTTGCTTCTCCCTCCTTTCTGGGTTTTGGGCATGCATACACATGTGCCTGGTGTGTTTTCCAAGTCACAAGATCCTGAATTTGAACTCTGTACTTGGCTATTGGGATCCAGCTGCCTTAACCACCCAGCCATGACTGGCCCCACTCTAGGCTATTAAGGTCTGGGTCCAAGAAGTGGGACTGTTGGACTATAAACCCAATGAACCCTTTGTTCCCCCTCCCCCATCCCACCCCGACCACAGAGTTACGAGGAGCAGGAGCTGCTGCGTCTCATCTACTACGGGGGCATCCAGCCGGAGATCCGCAAGGCCGTGTGGCCCTTCCTCTTGGGCCACTACCAGTTCGGGATGACGGAGACAGAGAGGAAGGAGGTTGGTTACCACTGGGTGCGGGGGCGTCTTTGGTGACATGAGGTACTACAGGGCCAGGGAGCTGTGGTTTCATGTTAGGCCAAGGTGGGCAGGGAGATACAGGGGAGCTGGAACCTCAGGGACAACGCTGTCCCATAGAAATGCAGTGGACCCTGGGGCAGCATGGGTTTGAGCCACACGGGTCTGCTCACACGCAGGACTTTCAGTTAAGAGGCCCACCCACGCTATTCCGAATTCATTTTTGTAAACGGTGCCATTTACTTTGAAGCTCATTGTTGGCCTGCGGGTGTCCAGTTGCTCCAGCACCATCTGATAGAAAGACCATCCTCCATCCTTGAAGTGCTCCCGCACCTTTGTCAGAACTCCATTGGATGTCCTTGGGCGTCTGTTTCTGGCTTGTTCTGCTCCTTCAGTCTATGTTCATTCTTCTGTCAACATCTTACTCTCTTAGTGATTGTAGCACATACATCATTTTAAAGGTTTCATAGTCACTATATATGTATTGTTTAGATGTTTGTCATAGGTGTATGCACTTACTGGAGAGAGACAGAGAGGGAGGGAACATGAGAAATCACCTCCGGGGAGGGGGAAGGCCACACTGCAGTCCCTTTTCCTCCATTCTCCTCTTGGAATATTTGGCACATGCGCACAAATGGTGTGATTTTCAAGCCGTCGAGTATGGGACTCAAACCACAGGGTTAACCATGGGACCCAACACCGTAACCACCATGCCACCTGCTGGCCCAGTAGTCACATTTTTAAAAGTAAAAAGACAGAGATGCAGTTAATATTGCAAGATGTTTTATTTCGAGATAAGTTATAATAATCACAAGAAGTTGAAAAAATAATGCAGAGGCTCCGTGTGCCCCTCACCTAGCTTTCCCCGATGCTGACATCTAGTGGAACTGCGGCAGTGTGAAAAGCAGGGCATTCACACGGGCACAGCGCCGGGGCCAGACTTCCGACCTCATGGGATTTCTCTAGTTTTTACATCTGCTGTGTGTGTGCGCGTAGTTCTATCACATTTCATTGATGCAAAATTCATTTTAGTATTATACTTAGCCCAGTATATTTAGTATATTACCATTTCAGCATGCAATCAGTATAAATATTATTATTCTTATTTTTTGGCCAGAGGGTACATGCACTTGCCAGAAAGAGACAGAGAGAGAGAGAGAGAGAGAGAGAGAGAGAAGGCACCCCCCTCCTGGTGAGGCTAGAGGATGGACAGGGGCAGACATTCAAAGTCTTGGAGGCAGAGTTAAAGAAGGATTGTAAGCAAGGCTATCTTAGGATCAGATTTGTAAGAGACAATGGCAGCTTGAATACTGTAGTCGTGGTGGTGGGAGAAGGAGTTTGAAGAGCTATTTAGAAGACAGAGTGGACAGAACTTGATTATTGAATAGATATTAGACATTAGACATTAGGGAGAAATAAGATTGAATGTGATTTCTAGGTTTGTGGTTTGAAAAAATGGATGAATGCTTTGCCATTTACTGGGATAGGATATACTGAAAAAAGACCAGGAATGGAAAGATAGATTATGCATTTGGTTTTAGGCATGTTGAGTCTACAGGACCTTTGAGATGGTCAGGAGGAAGTGGTCAGGCAGATAGTTGGATAGGCTGGATATAGAAAACCATCACTGCTCTATATCCTTACTGTCTAGTATTTTAGCCACTATCTACAGGTGGCCATTTACATTTAAATGAATTAAAATAAAAAATTTAGTTTTTCAGTTGCACCAGCCACATTTCAAGTCCTGAATATTTGCATCTGACTAATGACTTTCACATTGGACAGTGCAGTTCTGGAGCCCAGAGAACAGTCTGGGTGGAAAATATAAAAAAGAGACATGCATAGCTGAGGTTTGAGAGTGTCTAGGAGAGGGTAACAAGTAAAAAGAGGAAATGGCCAAGACTAACACTCAAGGACCTTCAACGTGCAAAGGCTGGTAAGAAGAATGAGTCTTCTGGGGACCAGCAGGTGGCATGGTGGTTAAGGCGCTGAACATTCCCACATGGCCCACCACGGTTTGAGTCCCAGACCTGGTGGCTTGTTTTCTCACTTTTTCTTGCTCTCTCTTTCTCTATGTCTCTCTCTGGTCAAATTAAAATAATATATATGTATATATATGAAGAATGAACCTTCTAAGGACACAGAAAAGAAGTCAAGGATAGGAGGAAAACTTTAAGAGCTTTGTCATAAAAGTCAAAGGAAAAGAATGTTTTTAGAAGAAGGGATGAGCAAGAGCTAAATGCTTCTGAAAGGTCAAGGAAGATGAAGACTGAAAATGCTTACTGGATCACAGAAGTAGAGGTCGTGGTGACTTTGGCAAGAGCTGTTTTGGAGGAGGAATGGCACTGAGAGGCCGACTAGATAAGCGAGGGGGAGGTGATGGAGAGGGAACCGACAACAGAAGATAAGAAATCATGAACTCCTTGTTCCAGGAGTTGCCAGTAAAGCAGGAAGCTTCTCAAGCCAAGTCAAACTACAGTTGTATTTCCTTCCTACCTTAGCTACCTTGACTGGGCCGCGTAAAGGCTTGGTGACCATATTAAAGAACATTCTTTAATATGTTACAGTAGAGGGGCCAGCAGGTAGTGTGGTGGTTAAGGTACTGGACACTCCCACATGGCTGACCACGGTTCAAATCCTGGACCTGGTGGCTTGCTTTCTTGCTTTCCATCTTTCTCTCTGTGTGTCTCTCTCTGGTCAAAATGAAAAGGAATAAATAAAATTAAATAAATAATTATTTAAAAAATATGTTACAATAGAAAACAATTGAAGGTTTTTCTTTTTTTCTTTCTTTTTATTAGAGGTTGAACATCCCTAATCTGAAAATCTGAAATTTGAAATGCTTCAGAATCAGAAGCTTTAGATGGCACCACAAGTAGTAAATTCCATGCCTGACCTCACGTCATCAACCACAGTCAAAACACTGCAGTGCAGAAGCATATGAAATTACCTCAGGCTACGTGTGTAAGGTGTATATGAGGAAACATAAATGAATTTCATGTTTAGACTTGGGTCCCATCTCCACAACATCTCACTATGTAGATGCAAATAATACAAAATCTGAAAAAAAAATTGAAATGCTTTAAGCATTTCAAATAAAAGATATTCAACCTATATCTGGAGTGCAGAGCATACACAAGAAGACAGAAAAGTATAGTAAACCTTTGTGTACTGCTTGTCATCTGGCTCTAATATATCTTTCAACCCGCAGTCCTGCCCCATCTGTCTCCCCCATTTACTTTCTAAAATTAAAAAAAAAATGCTATAGAGAGTGTGTACTCACCAGAGAGAGAGAGAGAGAGAGAGAGAGAGAGAGAGAGAGAGAGAAGGCACCCCCCTGCCCCCAAGGGACATGATTGTGCTGCAGTCCTTTCTCCTCCGTTTCTCCATCCTGTCAGGATTTGGGACATGCACACACATGCACCCAGCATGTTTTTTCAGTTACCGAGGCTGGGATTTGAACCATATAGCTGACCATGGGGAATCCATTTCCCTTAACCACCAGGCCACGGGGCTGGCTCATTGTAAATACAATTTTTTTAAAGAGAGATTTTTGTGGGAACCAGCAGTTAGTGTAATGGCTATGTCGCTGGACTCCCACGTAGTCGACCACGGTTCGTGTCCCGGACCCAGTGGCTTGAGACTCACGCCGGGCGTGTGTGTGTACGTGCCCAAGATCCTGAGAGGAGAATGGAGGAGAAGGGATTGTGGTGTGATCATCCCCCTTGGGGGGTGATTTCTCGCTTTCTGTCTCTATGTCTCTCTCTGTCTGGCGAGCACACGCGCCCTATAACGAAAACCTCTCAAAAAAAAAAAAAGAGAGATTTTTGCTATAGGGTGCATGTGCTCACTGGAGAGACAGAGAGACAGAAAGCAAGAAATCCCCGCCGCCGCCCCCCCCGCACCCCCGCAGGGGTGGCCATACTACAATTCCTTCTCGTTCATTCTCCTCTCGGGTCTTGGGCATGCATGCGTGGCGTGGGTTTAAGCCACTGGGTCTGGGACTTGAACTGTGGTTGACTATGTGGAAGTCCAGTGATGTAACCATCATGCCATCTGCTGCTCCTCAGTGTAAACATAATTAATGAGATATTTGATATTCTTTTCTATATGTATTTTACACTCCATATCCGTGTCCCGCCTGTATGTTATTCACTTAACACTTGTCTCTATAATGGCACTTAGAATGTATACAGCTTATTTCAAAAGATATTTGATCTTTTTGATGTTTGAGCTCCCAATTCCCTGCATAAAGAGAGACCACTATGATTTGCTGTAAATAGGAAATTATAAAATAAATAGAGTAAGATTGAGGTAATTCAGTTCTGCCTAGATGCTGTAGCCTGCCCGAGGCCCGCTCTGTCTTTGTTAAAAGGGGGGATTGTAGGGCCTGAGGAAGTGTTAAAGATGTTGTAGCCCCAGCATTATCAGAACAGTTGAAGGAGAGTTGAAAATGGAGACTTTGCGTGTTCCAGCGTGTGAGAGTCTGTGCCGTGGACTGTCTAAATCAGCCCGGTACCCATGCAAGGCCTGTCGCACTTCACCCCATGCCTGGGGGGTTCCTGGGCAGTTAGTGACAGGATTCTGGTGTCCTGGGCCCTGTGCCTGGAGCTGGGGGCACAGAGCAGTGTTAGGTGAAGCCCTTGCTGGTTCCCTGGGGTGGCGTGGTCAGTGTAAGACAGAGGCAGACCAGGGGCCCTACACCAGGCAAAGGAACGACTGCTCAATGGAGGGTCCTGGAGGAGCTGGCCCACCTACCTTGGTTGAAGGAATTGCTTTCCAGGCAGAGGGTGAGGCAGGGCTTCCAGGAAGAGGGCACAGCAAAAGCGAAGGCCTGGAGGGGAGATCAGTATAGCGTGTGTGTATGTGTGTGTGTGTAGGGGAGGGGCCACAAGGGCGAGGTGGACAGGGGTTACCGGAACATACAGGACCAGGGGGTGCAGGGCAGCAGGGATGAGGCAGCAGGGAAGGGCAAGGCTGGAAAGGAGATAGGACAGAGGCTGCTCTGCAGTGTATGGACAAGGAGAGGCCGGACTGGGACGCACGGGGACCTGGGAGGAGGCTGCTGCAGATGCGGAAGCCTGGCCTAGGATGCCGTGGGCACCGCAAGGTGAGCAGGGCTTGGAGACCTTAGGGGTGTCAGTAGGAGGGGGCTGCTCAGGCCAGGTCCTTAGGCAGAGAGGACCAGGATTCCCTCTCTGGAAGCCTGAGAACCCCCAAGAGAGGACAGTTCTCCCCCTCCTCCAAGCCATACCTTGTCCGCTTCATTTGTGTCCAGAGTTCTGCAAATTCAGAACCTCAGCTCTCTGGGCTGTGCAACCACAAACAAGGAATGCTCCTCTCTGTAAGGCCATGGCCATACGTAAAGGACGTCAGTTAGTGTAATTCATCTTCATCCTCCCAGCACCTAGCCCTGCACGGGGCACGTGGGAAGCCCTCCGACAGTGCGTTGAATGAGTGAGTGGGTGGATAAGAATCAGAATCTTGTTTCTCTTGCATTCCATATGCCTTGCTTGGGGCCTGGCACCTAGTGGGTACTTAACCAAATGAAACGAATAAATGGGAATAAATAAGCTAATGGGAAAGGAGAGAAGGAAGGTAGTAAAAAAGGAAAGAGACAGTGGTGTTCCCAGGGGTTGGAGCGCTGTCTGGCACATAGTAGGGGCTCAAAAAATAGTTGAATGGATATATGAATGAACAGAGGGGAGGGAAGAAGGAAGGAGGGGGAAGGAAAGGAAGGGAGGAAATAAAACGCAGCTTTGCTCACTTCCGTGTATCTTCAGGGCCTAGTCAGTGCTAGGTGTAACGTAGTAGGTGCTCAGCTAATACCCCTTGGGTGTTAATTCATGAGTGTTGGCTGAGTCGGGGTCATCTCTTCCAGGTTGGGTTGCCTCTTCTCAGGGGTCCCAGCCCCTTGACTGACCTTGCATCTACCCCGGCAGGTGGATGAGCAGATTCACGCCTGCTACACACAGACCATGTCCGAGTGGCTGGGCTGCGAGGCGATCGTGCGGCAGAGAGAGCGGGAGTCCCATGCAGCCGCCCTGGCCAAGTGCTCATCAGGGGCCAGCCTGGACAGCCACCTGCACCGAATGATGCACAGGGACTCGACCATCAGCAACGAGGTGATGGCCAGCTGACCTAGGGGAATGCAAGGGGCGGGGAAAGCCAGGGTCTGCTCCAGCAGGCTGTTGTAAGAGTGGTGAGGGTTCAGATTGTGAGTCCTTGGGACAGTCACCCCTAGCTTTTATTTTCCCCGGGGAAGAGTAACTTGGAATGAGACCTGGGTTTAAATTTCTACCCAACTATTTCTTAGCTCTGGGGTCTCCTATAAGCATCTTTCTTCTGGGCCTCAGTTTCTGTATCTATAAAAGGGGAATAATCAGGTATAGAAAGGAAGGTTGCATACAGCTCAAATAAGACGGTAAAAATAAAGTGCCTAGCATAGTGCCTTTTATTTATTAAAAAAAAAAAAGCTTAGTGAGCACCTACTATGTGCCAAGTATTGTCAGGAATGTTCCAGTGGCCAAAGCAGACATGGCTGCCCTCACAGAACTTCTAGCTTTGCAACCTAAAGCAGAAGCTCAGAAAAAAATGAAATCCCTTCTTCAGCAATGTATCTGTCACCAAATGCCACAATAATGCTGCGTAACAAGCAACCACAAAAAGTCAGGGACGACCAACAATTACCATCACTTTTACAGTTTATTCATTTATTCCCTCCCTGAGTCAGAGAGACAAAGGACATTTTTAATAGGGTCCCAGTGCTGCCATCCACCCCCCACTTGTACCTGGGGTACTTAGGGGGATCTCTGGACACGAATGTGGAACCTTCCCTTGTGGGTTGGCCTCACAGAGCAGTGTGTTTTACTCTTCAGCCCTGACAATCGTCATTTATTTTCGCTCATGATAAGCTGGGAAATTCTCTGAGCTGGGCTGGCACTGGCCGTCAGTGACTGGCTGTCCAATAAAAAGTTCGTTGACCCAGGTTGGTCTCCCTCACCTGTCTGGGTTGACTTCCTTTGCTCCCCACGTCTCATCCTCAGTAAGTGAAGCTGGGCAGACTCTCATGGTGCAGATAGATGCTAATGAGAAAAAGCAGAAACGCGCCTGTCTCTGCTGTGTGGTGTCAGCTAATGTTGATGGACCGAAGCAAGCCACCATGGAGCCTAGCGTTAGGAGCTGTGAAGTTATAGGATAAAAGGGTAGCTACAGGGAATGGGTGAGAAATCCAGCCTTTCTTGCAACTAGGTACTCAGGGCGAAACTAAAATATTAGCCAGAAGTCTCCCGCAGAGCAGTTGAAGGTGAGGTGCTCTCATGGAGGTGGGAGTTGGGGGTTCACAGGCCAGGATGGCCTCCGAGGAGGCTCCAGGAAGCAGAGCATGGTCCTCATTTTTATTTTATAGCCAGGGAGCTGAAGACCTGAGAGGGAACATGTCTAAGTCAGGAATAGAGATTAAGCCAGATTTCTGGTTCAGGGCCCAGCAGTCCCCACTGCCCCGAGCTGGCCAGGGAGCAGCGTCGCCCACTCTCTCTCCTGTCCTTTGCTTGCAGTCCTCCCAGAGCTGCAGCTCCGGCCGCCAGAACCTCCGCCTGCACAGCGACTCCAGCAGCAGCACACAGGTGACCACTGAAGCGCTGCCCGCCCACTCATGCCCCACTCTCCTTCCCCACCTGGAGCATGCGGGTCCATCACCCACAGGTCACCTGGTGGTTTGTTGTTTTAGCTTTTTTTTTTTTTAAGTGCGATTTTTGCTATAGGGTGCATACACTCACCAGAGACAGAGACAGAAAGGGAGAAATCACTGCCCCCTGGGGCGGAGGATGGCTACAACACAAGCCCTCCTCCTCCATTCTCCTCTTGGGATTTTAGGCATGCATGCACATGGGCCTGGCGTGAGTTTCAAGCCACCGGGTCTGGGACTGAAACCGTGGTCAACTACGTGAGAGTCCAGTGACGTAACCATTACACCATCTGCTGGTCCCTTCCTCTTTTTTAACTGGCAGAGGGCACATACACTCACCAGAGAGAGGGAGGGAGAAGGAGAACAGCCCTTTCCCCAATGGGGTGTGGTCATGCTGCAATCTTTTTTACCTTACTTCTCTGTCCTGTTGGAATTTGTGGCCACTGACTGACTGACTCCACCTCCTTTATAAAAAGAGCTTATTTATTTATTGATTGAGAGAGGGACAGAAAGAAAGGAGGTGCCCTCCACAGGGTTTCACACCCCTGTCCTCCCACAGCCTTCTCAGCCAATCAGGATCATGGGTGTATCATTGGCTGGGAACTGAACCTCTATCTTCCACAGGGCTTCAGCATCACAGAGCATCTCTCTACTGCTGTGCCACGGTGGCTGGGCCAGTGTTTGCACTTTAACTTTAGAGTCGAGAAACTGCGGTTTTGATTCTGGAGCTACATAATTTTTTTGGTATAATCTAAATCAATTGAATCAAAAAGAAAAATTTTAAAATAGAAATAGATGAAATTAGCAGTAAGTCAAATTGGTGGCATGACCATGCAGAAGAGACTTTGTATCTTTTGTCTTTCAAAGTGACATTGAAACATGGCATTTTTACTGTTTGCCTTTTTTTTTTTTTTTTTTTTTTTTGAGAGGTTTTCGCTACAGGGCGCGTGCGCTCGCCAGACAGACAGAGAGAGACATAGAGACAGAAAGCGAGAAATCACCCCCCAGGGAGGATGGTCACACCGCAATCCCTTCTCCTCCATTCTCCTCTCGGGATCTTGGGCACACACGCACATGCGCCCGGCGTGAGATTCAAGCCACCGGGTCCGAGACGCGAACCGCGGTCGACTACGTGGGAGTCCAGCGACATAGCCATTACGCTAACTGCTGGTTCCCTACTGTTTGCCTTTGATGAGCTATGTCCTTAAGGACACAAAGAACCCCCAGTAAATCGTAAAAATATATTCTATAAATTTTTTATACCATTTCTTATATATCTAACTGCTTTTGAAAATTAAGCCATTAGAGTCAGCCTCATGGATACAATATGCTTATTTAATTAGAGTCAACCTCATGGATACAATATGCTTCTTTAGCCTTTTTTTTTTTAAGGTTTTTGCCATAGGATACGAATGCTCACCAGTGAGACAGACAGTGAGAGGAAAAGAGAAAAATCACTCCTTAGGAGGAATGACCACACTGCAGTCTCTTGTCATCCATTCTCCTTTTGGGGTTTTGGGTACACACACACACACACACACACACACACAGAGCATGATTTTCAAGCCACCGGGTACAGGACTTGAACTGCGGTCAGCCATGTGAGAGTCCACACACCATGTCCTTAACCACTGTGCTACCTGCTGTCCCCATAGGCTGTTCTTTATGTTACTGTATTTTTTACTTGAAAAAAAAATGTGCACATGGTAAGAGTCTATATGATGAAAAATTCATTCCCCTCAGTTTTTTTTTTTTTTTTTTTTTTGAGCGGTTTTT